TCAAAAAAAAAAAAAAAAAAAATGCTGGGTGCCGTGGCTCATGCTTGTAATCCCACCCAGCCTTTGGGAGGCTGAGGTGAGTGGATCCACCGCAGTCAGGAGTTCCAGACCAGCCTGGCCAACATGGTGAACCTTGTCCCTGCTAAAAATACAAAAATTAGCTGGGCGTGGTGACAGGCGCCTGTAATCTTACCTACTAAGGAGGCTGAGGCAGGATAATGGCTTACACCCAGGAGGTGGAGGCTGTGGTGGGGCAAGATCGCGCCACTGCTTTCCAGCCTGGATGATAGAATGAGATTCTGTCTCAAAAAACCAAACAAACAAAAAAAAACTCAATGGTGAAAAACATCTCTATAGGAGGAGGAGTGGGGAAATTACCATTCTGAGAAGTGAAGTGTCTTGGAAAAGGTATGCCCAGGTCTGTGGACACAGCTGTAGCTATGGATGATCACAGGTCCACTGAATGGAATCTAGCGTCAGTCCCAGCAATAAGGTGCTATTAACATGTAATCAAAGGCTCATGTCAATGTTAGAGTCTCCAAAACACAGACAATTATGAAGACTTAAGACTCCAACTTTTTCTTGAGCACAAAGTCAAAGTTTCTTGGTTCTGCACTCCTTTAAGAAGGATTTTACCAAGCCCAGCACATGCTTGATTGGCAGCTTGGGTTGAGCCTACACCATGGAAGGACGGGAGAATTGCTCTCGTAACGGGCGACTGCTCCTGTCATAGTTAATAGTTCTAAAATTCAAAAGAAGTCTGGAAATGGAACTGCGTTGGTCAAAAATTTGATAATTGTGCTTTTTTTCCCACAAGTAATCCAGCAAATGATCACACACAACCCATCAAACATAAAAGACGCCTTCAGACTCTTCAAAGAACCCTAGGCGAATGAAACTTACGTCCATACTGACGATAAGAATGGGCAGTGGCTCTTAATTCTGATGTCTTCTCCCTCCTGTAGAGAGAGTGAACACGTGTTCTCCTGTCAGGTCTGTCATTGCTCCAGCTCTGTGGACGAACAGGTCGAGTGCGCCCCCTAGTGGAGAACTCCATGCTCGCCAGGGCTTTCTGTCTGTGATTGCTAATCTCTGGACTCGGATTTGACATGCTGCATTTCAAAAGTCAAGTTAATGAACAGTCCTATGAAATTGGGAATTTTCTCTCTTTTCTATGCCAAGTTGAATAAGGAAGAAACTTCTCTTTTTTTCCGGAATAACAAGAACTTCATGAGGCTATCAGACACCCACATGATAGTCTTAATCATATTGTGGTAATTTCCTGTTATTTTATTATTATTTTGTTTAATTTTATTATTCTTTTGAGACAGGGTCTTGCTCTGTTACCTGGGCTGGAGTGCAGTGGTGTGATTATAGTTCTCTGCAGTCTTGATCTCCTAAGTTCAAGCCATCTGCCTATCTCAGCGTTTCTAGTAGCTAGGACTCCAGTTGTGCACCGCCATGCCTGAATAATTTTTTTGTTTTTGTATTTAGTAGAGATGAGGTCTCATCATGTTGCTCAGGCCGGTTGCAAACTCTTATTTTGACAATTCTCTATCTCTCTGTGAAAGAGCTCAGGGAAAGTTTACCAAACCTATCCAAAGGGGCCCTGCTCCCTTCCAGCTCTTAGAGTGCTGGGAACATTTTAAACCTCTAGGTGGTGACTGAGCAACCCCAAGCTTCTGGAAGAATTGGCAAAACCCGAGCTATCTGAAATAAAAAGAAGAAATTGTTGTTGATTTGTAACCTGTTAATAGAAGGATTTGGTTTCCCCAAAATGAATTATTTGCTTTGTAATGCTTGTTACTTACTGTATCGATTATATTTGAGAAAATGAAGAATAGTATGAAAAGCAGGGCTGTAACTTGTAATTTTGGCTCTGCTAAGCTGCTCTTTTCAGAACAGGAACTCTGTGTTAGAGAAAAGCCACACACATAGAGAGAGATGACTCTCTGACTGCCAGAGAGAGATGACAGCATGTCATAAGCTTCTCATTGCAGAGAGTCTATAAACCAACCTGTAATGGAGAGGCTTATTACCCAGATTCCTTTCCCAGGAAAGGCATATTGATTATGGCCCTGGAAAGGGAATGTGATCCTTATGGAGAGCCTATAAATGGGCGCATGAGGGGCATCTGTCGTGAGGAAGAAACTCTGTGTTAAGATGAGGATGTAAAAGTCTTTCTCTCCACTGCTCCTCCATGCCTGTGTGGGGGTCTCACTCCTCTTGCAGTTTTGTGGTCGGGCTGGTTGTCTTGTGTCAGATCCTGTTCCCCCTGTAGCAGTGAGCCCAGTGCCTTTCTTGCTGATGATATAAGTTTATGTTTAACCTCTATTCTTGCTAAAGGTTATGGTTTCCATGCTGACATTGGGATCTTTGTGCACCAGTCTTGCAAATGTATTCTTTTGCTATGACCCTACCACACTGTTGTGTAGCCCCACTCCCCTCCCTTATTGAAAGAGCCTAATAAAAAACTGAGCTTTTCAGGGGAATTTTAAACATCCATGGAGCGGCTTTATGTGGCGTCTCCCCTGGGCCCAGTTTTGAAGAAAACTGTTTCTTTGTCTTTTTTTTTTCTTTTTCACCAACCATTGGTTACTTTGAGAGATCTTGAATCCACGTTGATATACTGGGAGCTGGTCTTCCAATATTGAAGGTCTCTCATCTGGGCCTGGGAGCTCCAGCCTGTCTGAAGTCTCCTGGGGTGTGAGAGTCATTACTTGCCATCCTTTGCCGTTCCCTCTTTGATAGCTCACTTTCTAACTGCTAAACAGTCCAAACACATTCCCTGGAGCGTGACCCATTGGTTCTAGTTTGTTCCTCAGAGCTTCCCAAAACATCTCTCAGCCTCTTCCCAGGCCATTCTGCATCTGGCAAAGACAGACAGGCCATGCTGGCCTCCCGATGTTCTCCAAGCCAAACTGAGGCCCTTTGACAGGTCTCATATGCAAATGAGTCAGGCGCCAAAGGGCAGAGCTAGGATGCAAATATTTCTCATTTTCGACTGTCCTGTTTCCATTAAACTATTCTGCAATCCCTCTAGCAATACCTGAATACTTCAGTCTGGTTAATTTCCCTATCTTGTCCTTGCAACTCAAGGAACATTTTTATAGCACTTTGTGGTTTAAAATTATTTTTGTGAACAGCGTGCAACTTGTGAAGCAGGTCTTATTATCTCTATTTTATGCAAGTGGAGAAGTAGGCTGCAGCTTAGAGAGGTTCTCACTTGGGTCCTCTAAGCATGGTCCTCTCCCCACAGAAGCAGCATCTTTTGGGATCTATGAATCATGTACATTCCCAGGCCTATCTCAGACTTATGGAATCAGAAACTCTGGGGTGGGGCCGGCAATTTGTGTTTTCACAAGCCCTCCCAGTGTGATCCAGTTGCAGGCTCAAGTGCAAGAAATCCTCTCTCAGCCATGGGTGCGTTGCCCAGGAATTTGTTAGATTTTTAAAAAGTAAACAAAAACCAAGAAAATGCCAACACACTGATGTTCTGTAGTACATTTAGTCTTTCCCCGAAATCCTCCCTAACTCCTCACTTTGATCTAGAAGAAGCTACTTTTATCATAAAAGCAGAACTAATCACAGGCCATGGTTGTTTACCGATGAACACATTTGGTCTTTTGTAGATTACCTCTCAGAGGAGAAGAGGTTTAAAGAATCCCCTCTGTCTGACGGGGATTTAAGAGAGCCGTTAACTACTGCAGACAGAGAAACTCTTCAGGGAGCAGCTAAACCAGGTTGGAATCTATAGCATGAACTAAATATGATGCTCAAATACAGACAGCTTCAGAATGTGTCTTTTGCCTTTTGTGGTATTTTAACTGACACCTTTAATTCACCCGCAAAAGCATACAATGTGTATTTAAGGTTTGTGAATGAAACCAACTCCAGAGGATGGGCGGGGTGGCTCACATCTTTAATCCCAGCCCTTTGGGAGGTGGAGGCTGGCGGATCCCCTGAGGCCAGGAGTTCGAGATCAGCCTAGCCAACATGGCAAAACCCTATTTCTACTAAAAACACAACAAGAAATTCACTGGGCCTGGTGGCAGGCACCTGCAATCTCAGCTACTCAGGAGGCTAAGGCAGGAGAATCTCTTGCACCCAGGAGGCGGAGGCTGCAGTGAGCAGAGATTGTGCCATTGCACTCCAGCCTGGGCAACAAGAGCGAGGCTCCATCTGAAAAAACAAAACAAAACAAGAACTACAAAGGCCCCAACTCCAGAAATTTCACCACCTTTCAAAAAGATGCTAATTTTTTATTGTGTCTGCACAGCCAGGGTCCTTCGTAACATGGATGTGATATTCTGAGTTCCAGCCAGTGCTGGACTGAGGCTTTCTGACAACCAGGAGGGATAAAATGCCACCTGCAGGCCTAGTTCCAGATGAGCTTCACCCTTGCTCATCCCTGAGCCCAGACCTGTTCAGAGTGGCAGAAACTCACCCATGCTGGCACCAAGCACAGTGCAGCCCTCCACACAGCCCCTCCCTGTCAAAATTATACCCGGCTGTCACTTACTAACGCTTAGAAACAATAAATGCGGAATTATTCCAACAAGACTTCAGAGCTGCTGGATGAGCCGCCTCTTGGCATAGCATAGCTGAAGGTGGGAGGCTGCACAAGCCCTGTTTTCTCCCCATCACCCAAGAAGGCCCTGGCTTGGCTCTCCCGTCTACATCACCGCCTGCCCTGGACAGCTCTCCACACGAAGCCAGCTGCTACCAGGAATCGTACCTCCATGTCCGATCTCCCTGATGTCTTTTTCTTTTTTGGTCACATTATAAATGAGGTGACAGATGCTCTGGGAGACCCTGATGTCCACTGGTCTCTGTCCTTTGAGATCTGGCTAAGACTGCCTTGTTTTCCCAAGCTGGTGCTCAGCGGTATTCCCATCCAATCTCATAGTCTCTGTGGCCAGGCTGCTCCTGAACTCCTGACCTGAGGTGATCCTGCAGCCCTGGCTTCCCCGAGTGCTGGTATTACAGGCATGAGCCACAGCCCTCGGCCCATAGAAGCTTTCAGTTCATTTATGCAGAGCTGAAGCTGGGAGAATGAAAGCCTAAGCTTAACCTATTCTTTCCCCACTTTCTCCAGCAGCCAGCCAATATTATGCTCCTCAGCTTAACTAAAATGTCCTCAGGTATCACCAAACACATGGACACCCAGAACCTTGCCTTTTGTATGCGTTTGACTGGGAGTATCCAGTGGTAATATTTTGTGTATCTCTATTGCCACATTACGCTGTGGAGTACCTAAATGCCCTCTTTGCCACTGGAAATAGGTTTAAGATTTCCTCTCTTCTAGTACCAAAATTTGTATCAGTCAGGGTCTCACCAGAGAAACAGAACAAGCAGGAGGATGTAGGGAGTACTGAGAGTTTTATTTATTTATTATTATTATTATTATTTTATTTTTACAAGGCAGGGTTTCACCATGTTGGCCAGGCTGGTCTTGAACTCCTGACCTCAGGTAATCTGCCCGCCTCGTCCTCCCAAAGTGCTGAGATGACAGGTGTGAGCCACCACATCTGGCCAAGAGTTATTTTTTTAACTTCTAAATTTTGTATTTACATAGTGGGTGTATTTATTATGGGGCGAATGAGATATTTTGATACAGGCATGCCATGCATAATAATCACATCAGGGTGAATGGGGTATCCAACTCCTAGAACATTTATTCTTCATGTTACAAATAACAATTATATTCTTTTAGTTATTTTTAAGGTGTAATTAAATTATTATTGACTGCAGTCCCCCTTCTGTGCTATCAAACACTAGGTCTTATTCATTCTTTTATTTTCTGCACCCACCCATTAACCATCTCTCCCCCACCCCACTACTCTTCCCAGCCTCTGGTAACCAGCCTCCTACTCTGTAGCTCCCTGAGTTCAGTTGTTTTTATTCCTAGCTCTCTCCATTTCCATCTATGTTGGTGCAAATGACGGGATCTCATTTTCTGAATGGCTGAATAGTACTCCGTGTGTAAATGTACCACATTCCTTTGTCCATTCACCTGTTCATGGACTCCAAGGTTGTTTCCAGAGCTTGTATTGTGAATAGTGCTGCAATAAACATGTGAGTGCACATATGTCTTTGATGTACTGATTTCCTTTCTTGTGGGTATCTACACAGCAGTGGGATTGCTGGCTCATAAGGTAGCTCTATTTTTAGTTTTTTGAGGAACCTCCGAAGTGTTCTCTCTAGTGGTTGTACTAACTTATGTTCCACACATCTGCACCAACGTACGAGAGTTCCCTTTTCCCCACATGCTTGCCGGCATTTGTTATTGCTGGTCTACTGGACACAATGGACGATTCTTTCCCAGAGCCTCTGAAGGGGCCACAGCCTGCTGACACCCTGGTTTCAGACTCTGGCCTCCGGAATGTGGCAATACGTTTCTGCTGTTTTAAGCACCAGCTTGTGGTGGTTTGTTATGGTAGCCCTGGGAAGCGAATGCACGGCCACACAACCTTTCTCTGATACGTTGAGTCTTGAGGGTATGTGAGATTGCTTCGGCTGGGCCCAGGGCCACTGCAAGGCGGGGGAAAGTGTGTTTAGAGATTCAAGGGATGTAGGCCATGGTCCTGGTGCTTGTGGTCAGCAGGTTCACAGATTCCTAGGGGAAACTGTTGGGTCTGAAGGGTTCTTGGCTCCCTTGTCCGTTTGTGGATGGGCTCTGGGAGCTGGGCCTCAGGAAAGGCAGCGGGAGGGGTGGTCAGGAGTAGCTCAGAGGAAGTCCAACCAAGGCCTGAGAGCTTTGGACCTATCTGTGTGGGCAATGAGGACGAGGTGGCCCTGGAAGGCTCTGTCCAGTTCTTCGCCAAGATGGAAAAACAGCCCATCCCTAGAAAAACTGTTTCCACCACATCACGGCATTTAGTTAAAAACTGCCCAGTTAGTGGTCTTGGGACTTTGATCCTGCTATAGCCACAGGTGGCCTGAGGTATTGGACAGAGCTGGCCCCCAGGTTCACTCCAGTCCAGCTCCCAAATCAGGGGCCTGGAGAACCAAGAATGCCAGTCCAGATGCTTGTCTCGTGCTCCCTGTGTCTGTGGGGATTTTCTCCGGGAACTCCGTTTCCTTCGACATCACAAAGCTATTGATGCAGAGGGGTGCCTACAGTGTCCCCATGCATGGGTGAGCGTGGCTGGCTGTGAGTGTGTCCTGAGATGGGGTGAGGTCCTGGCTGGGGCTGGTTCCACTTTGCGCCATCCTGAGCTGCCGGGCTGGTCTCTGGCCACTGCTGCTCTGAAGTGGATAAGTGGATAAATCATGATCTGACTTATTTTTTAGTAATCATTCTTAAAGGTATGTATAGCTGACAATTATTTTAATATTTAATATGAAAGTATTTGGGGTCTTTATGTAGATGATTGGTGATGTTTTTGTGACCAGGAATATAGCATAGGAACTTACTCTTGTCTATTGCAATTAACTTCTGGGAAAGTTGGTTTCCTTACTGCACTTCAAGTTGCACCTCCGAGAACCTTATCAGTGAGCTAAGTGAGGACTTACTGCGCCCACTGCGCACCTCTGCCTTTCTGGGCCTTGGGAGGCTCAGATCCTTTCCTGTCTATCCTAGTAGTCACTGCCCTGCGCAGAGGAGAGGAGGCTCCAGTTAGGTGCTTCCTGAGGAGCCTGCAGGGTTATAAAAATCCCCAGATGCACCTGCAGGGCCCCAGCCTGACCTTCCCAGCCTGGCACTCAGGTTGCGGGGGATGTGGAGCGGGGGCACTGAGTGGCCGTGGGGAGGAAGGAATGGGATGACGGAGAGGAAAGGGTAGAGTAAGATGAGGGAGATGAGGGCGGGACAGGAGAAGGGAGAAGGGCGGGGGACAATGGTGTTCATGGGGAAGAATACGGCGGAGGGAGCGGGGAGAATAAGCTGGGGGAGTGGAGTGGGGAAGAGGAAGGCAGAGGAATGGGGGGAGGGAAGTGGAAGAAGCATGTGCGGGTGGGGGATCTGAATGGAGGAGGGTAGGAGAAGGTGTTGGAAGGAGGGCGAAGGGCGGAAGCAGTGACGGGCCAAGAATGAGCCCCAAGTGGTTGGTTCAGCCCACTTGTCCCAAGAGGGTGGGGAAGAAGAACTGGGTGGGGGATGGGTGGCCTTGTGGAGAGGTGGGTAGGGGAGAGCCTACTCCCTCCCCAGCATCAGCAGCATCAACAACCGTTGTAACTTATCAACTGATCTCCCCTCAAATCGGCACTTACTGGGCACCTCCCCATGCCAGGCACAGCGCCCTGGTGGCCAGGTCCACCCTACCTGCCATGCGGCCCCCCCCCAGGGCGTGCCACTGGGGGCTGACCTTGGAGTCTGCCCTGGCATCTGTGGTCCAGCCACTTCACTGTGAGCTGAGCACCACCGTCCCCACTTTTTAGACTGAAGCCAGTGGAGCGATGGGGAGAGTGGGCTCTCCAGGAGTGTGGGGCCCTGGTCACTCTGGGTGACCTGTTGGCTGTCCAAAGGTCTCTGCAGGCTTGACCAGGGCATGTGCCCCAGGAGAGGACTGCTGGCAATTGGGGTGTGGCCTAAGCCACCTGGTATTCTCCTGCCCGGCCCTCACAACTCCGGGAGTCCCAGGCACGATGCTGGGGAGCTGGCTCCAGCTGGGCTTCAATACTGGTCCTGCCCGGACCTTCTCAGAGCCTTGGCCGCCTCTTCTTGGCAATGAGCATGATAATTTACCCTCTTTACAGTGCCGTTGGGTGGTCTGTTCAGCAGCAAACAATTACTGGATACCTGCTGGGTGCCAGGCCCTGTGCTGGACTGGATGTGTGGTGGCTGTAGGACAGCAGGTGGCTGGGGTCCTCTGCGCTTGGAAGGAGATGCAGCTGCCCCAGCCTGGGCATACAGCAGGCACAGCACACATGCCAGATTTTCCTTGAGCTCTCATCAGGTTGCACGTGCACCCTCGCCCCGTCCTCATTGCAACCTCTTGGGACCCCAGCCCTGACAGGCAGTCCACCCTTCTGCTGGCCTCCTACCCCTACCCTGGGCTTGCATTTGAGGAACAAGCCCGATCAGCACCAATGGGCTCTGCCAACAGTCCCCTCATGGTCTGTGGGCCCCTGGGAGCTGCCCTGAGCTAGCGTTTCCATTTCCCTTTCTCCATCAAAGAGGTGACTGCCTTTGCACTGTCAGTTTGCCCTCCTGCTAAGGCCTCACAGCTTTAGCTTAAGGTTGGTTCAGCCTGCTTGTCCCTGGCTTGATGAGGGCAGTCACCAGATCACACGGGATTTCAGGGCGGAGCCCTATGGAAGCTTCAAGCTCCCTTTGAGCTAGGAGATTCTTGTAAGAGGTTCCCCACTTACTAGCTGTGGAATTTCAAACCTAAGTTTCCTCTTGGCCTCAGTTTCTGTATCTGTAAAATGAGGCTAATCTACTACTGGTTGGGGCTGTTGTGAGTGTTAAATGTACCTTCACTGTGGCCAGCATGCAGCTGTGCTTGATGGAAAGGAATAGATGCATTTAAGCTCTTATGAATATTCTGCAAGACTTCGGCTGGCTGCCCATCCAGCATGAGCTCTCCTCCTTCCAGCCACTCCTTCCTTCCAGAGTATGGTGTGGTGTGGGTGGGGCATGTGACCTGGTCCAATGCCACTTCCCCATGCCATGTGCTGGCTTCAGGGATTGGCTGGGGGATGGACATGTGATCTACTCAGCCAATGAGCTGTGTTGGGACTTTTTCTGGGAATACCGAGAAATAGATTCTTGCTTCTTGAGTTGGATTTGAAGCTGAGTCACTTTCTTGGACCATAGGGAGATAACTTGTCTGAGAATGAAGCCAACAACCTTGGGGCCATCAGTTGAGCCCAAAGCAAGCTGTTCCTGAAGCCCATATGTAAGATTTTCACCCATCCATGCAATATTTACTGAGTACTGTTATGTGATAAGTATCACTCCAGTTGCTGGGGCCACTGCTGGGAAATAGTTCCCACCTCCAGATGTCACAGTCCTGCTTAAGACCTTTGTTGGGAACGCTCTTTCCTCAATATCTCCGTGGCTCTCTCCTGCATCTCCTTCAAGTCTTGGCTCACAGCTTATCCCTTTTGGGGGATGCCCTGACTGATTCCAAATTACATGCCCTCAGACCTCGCCTATCTTTTCTGATTTATTTTACTCCTTAGCACCTGTAACCATGTGGCGTATTCTATGAAATACCTACTTTGTTCATTTTCTGTCTCTCCCACTAGAAATGTCAGCTCCATGAGGGAAGGGATTTTCATGCATTGTTCACAGTGGGTCCATAGAACAGAGTACCTGGAACAGAGTCTGGCATAGAACGAGTGCTCTGTATTGAATAAGTAGCCAGGGCTGTCAGGAGGTGGTAGTGCCCTGGCAGTTGGAAGGTTTCTGAAGGAGCCATCCATTTGAGAAGCCCCCAGGGGAGAGTACAGCATGTGGCTGCTGTGGCCAAGCAATTATCTTCTGACTTAAACCAGCTGAATTAACTTTTTAAATTTCAGGGCAGAGCTGTGGTCAGCTTCTGCCTTCCGGGACGCTGAGTTGTGCTTGGCAGCCTGCGATACTGGAGAGCTGCCCCTGGAGGGCGCCAGGGAATCTCGTTGCTGGACTCGGACGGCCTCCAGTAGAGATGACATGACGGTGGTAGTGGCAGTAACGGAGCATTTGCTTTTAGGTCTGTTTTAACTTTTGCAACAGCCGTACGAGACAGGCACAGCACTCATAAGAGATGGGGGGAGAAAACTAAGGCGCAGAGAGGCTCACGGTCCCTCCGAGTTAAGTGGCAGAACCAGAAAAGAATCAGAAAGGAGTTAAAAATCACCATTTTTCTGTACACCCAGAAGGAATCCGGGAGGGACCCTGGGTGAAGAGGCTGTCATCCTTGAGGGCTCATCGTGCTGGGGTGTGACCCCTCTCAGGGCTGCTGGAGCCTCCACCCCGGCTCCCTGCTGCATGTCTCCTAGCAGTGGCCTGTGTCCTCATAACTGTGCAGCCAGACCAGCCTGCTCAGCTGCAGGTGAAATGGACAGAAAGCCCCATCCCTGCCCATTTTGAGGATTAAGAAGACTTCCTGGAGGAAAACATGCTTAACTGGAGACCTGAAAGAGGACTAGGTGTCAGGCCGGTGAAGAACTGTGGGCAGAGAGACCTGAGGGTATGGGGGCTAGGGATGAATTTCTTCACAAGCTCTTCAGGGAGGGGTTACCTGAACCCAATGAGCAAATGCACCACGACTTTCCTAGCCCACATTTCCATCCGTTTGCCTTTACTCTAAACATTCAGAAGACGCATCCAACTCCTTCCACTCTGGCAGAACAGAGAGCCTTATCTGCAGCCCAATCTCAGAACTGTCTCAGCACTGGGCTTTACAGTTTCCAGACCAGCCTCTGGGACAGGAAGCTGGGGGCAGGGCAGGGGGCAGCGGTCAAGGGCTATAGGGCCAGTGCCTTGCAGAGGCTGGGAATCCCCTTTCCAGGACTTGAAGACCCTAGAAACCGGAAGCCCCCCCGCCACACACACAGAAGCACCTTGCCACGTGGCTGACTCAGCTTCCAGCCCCCTGGGGTTCTGGCCTCCTTTGGGGAGATATTTTACAACCAAAGTTTTCTTCCCAGCACCTGGGTGGGTAGGACTGCCTTGGGCCGCTAGCATCTCTTAGTTAACCTCTCGGGGTTTTACTTACCTTATCCAGAAAATGGGTTGAATGGCTTATTAATTGTGCATACAGCAAAGTCTGGCACATAATCAGTGTGACTCTTTCTTTTTGGCAAAAACAACATGTTTCATAGTGTGACTCTCATTATTGTTGTGTGAATGTGATTTGATGCCGTAATTTCTCCTCTCTTCAATGTGGGGAGTCTTATTCTCTCAATACTGTAAGAATGAATGTCCAGCATGGATGCCAAGGGAGGTTTTCTGCACCTGGAGGTTCAAGATGCCACTGGGGAAAGGGGAGGCTGCTAGCAAACGCCGTTTTGGTGGGGGCTCTATGTAGGAGAAAAGTATCCTAGCCTAGAGGTTGGAACACAGATTTTCTGAAGGGGTTTCAGGCAGCCGGAGGATAGTAGAGGCCCAGAAAGGAAATCCCCAAGAAGGAGGCTTCGGGGTGAAGCATGAGGGGATCCTCAGGCAGACTGGGGAGCTGAGCCTGCTTCCCAAGGGCAGCAGGACCCCAAGAAGAAAAGCTTTTGGGGTCTCCACAGTGGGCTCAGGGCAGCTCCACAGGGGCTCCTGAGGCCCCATAGACAGGAGGGCTGTGATGACTCCCCTAGTGCCCAAGAAAGCAAGGAGGTGGTGGGCAAGAGGCTCCCAGAGGCCTTGGGGTGCCAGAGGGGAACTGGAGCCGAGGGACTGTGACTGCAGGTCCCCCTCTGAGAGAGGGCATGAGGCATGGCCCCAGGCCCCAAGCTGGGTGGGTACCGTCCTGGGGGGTGCATGGGGTGAGGGAAGGGAAGAGAGGAAAAGGAGGAGGAGGTGGTGGCCACAGCAGGGCGGTATTCAGCCAGGTGCAGCTTCGTGGGAAAGGTCCCAGGTGGGCCGGGCTGGCTCTGGGGATGTGCTGGCTCTGTCTCAGTTGGATGGCTCATTCCTCCTGGAGCATGCCCCCAACATCCCCCAGGCTGGGTTGGGGCTCCTCTGGGAACCCTCAGTGCCCACGCTTTCAGCCGCCCAGCCCTGGCCTCCCTGTGGACTCAGCTGCCCCCCCACGAGTCCACAGGAGAGCAGAGGCAGGCTGTCCTTGCCATCCGTCTGCCTGGCACAGGAGGGGGTCTCAATCTTTGGGGTGTGGGCTGACTTAGTGGGTTTCTCCTCCCTCCAGCTCTGACCTGCCCGTGGAATAAAAAAAATCACTCCTTTGGGTGGTCCAGCCGGGGAGGCCCATGGCGATGCCCCTTTGAGAGGAAAATAGAGGCATTCTGGTTTCCATGAGCCCTGGGATTCCCTTCCCTTCCACCACTTGCTGCCCACCCTCCCATTCCAGGCACGCAGGCTTCCGCCCTCCTGGTGATTCTGGCTGCTGGAATCATCCTTCCTAAAACCCTGCCTTCGCCTAGCCTAATCTCCTCTCTTGGTCCCAACCTGCAGCTGGGCAGGGAGTGCTGGGTCCCGGAAATGCCCTCTGCCTCCCTGGAGCACGTGGCCTGTGATTTTCCTTGAGCACAGCACTTTGTGACTTTGATGTAGACATCAAACACAGCCCCCTTTCCTGTGTTCACATCCAGGAAACAGGTTAGTTTCAGACAAGCCTGCTTGCCACAGCTCAGCAGACACCAGGCCTTCCGGCCAGGCCTGGCCCACCGTGGGCCTCAGAGCTGCCGCTGGGGCGTCCAGGTAAGCGTCTGTCCTTGGGCCTTCTGCTGGTGTCCTGCCACCAGGGCCACCCCAGGGGGTTCTCGGGGTCCTGGCAGAGGGTGAATTCTCCATCCATGAGTGGGAAACCCTGGCGGGGTGTGACGTCCTCCCCACAAGGGTGTGTGAAGAGTGTGAGCGGCAGAGGCGCCCTCTCGGGCTGGGGGTTTGGGTGGCAGGGAAATCCAGACTAGCTTTGTAAGCCTTGATTCTTCACCCAGAACCGCAGTGCATTCTTCACCCAGAACTGCACCCAGACTGCGCTGGGACCAGAGACCCCACAGGTGGCCTGTTTGCCTGGACATCCACCTGTACGTCCCCAGGTAAGTGGTGCCTGGGTGGAGCGTTGCGTGGCTGCTGTCTCCGGGGTGGCCTGTGTCTGGAGGAGGGAGGGGCGGCTGCGGGGAGGACCAGGAGGGCTGCAGGACTGAGCTGGGTGGTGATCAGCTGGAGACAGAGGCAAAGAGGGCTTGTGGCCACGCTGAGGGAAGCAGCTCCCCCTCCAGAGGCTGGGCTGAAGCAGGGCTATTCAGGGGATACGGTGAAACCTGCTTGGTCCCCAGGCTCCTGCTGGGTCCCATCATGCTGCATCCTTGGCTCTCGGAAGCAGAGAAACCTCCAGAGAAGGGGCATGTGCACTCTGGCCCCCAGGCCCTGTAAGATGAGGGGTCACTCAGCAGGGCTGTGAGCTCCATCAGCAGAATGCTGTGGTTCCCGTGAGGAGTCCAGGCAGGCTCGGGCCACTTGTAGGAAGCTCAGGTTAGAGGGAGACCTGGAGAGGGAAGGAGCAAAACACTGAGTTCTGCTCAACTGCTGCGTGTTCTTGGCAAGTGGCTTGGCCTCTCTGATCTGTTTCTGCATCTGTTAAATGCACATGCAGATATGGGCACCTGGCAGGTGCCTGGTTCCTGACTGTTGGCGAGAGGGTGGGAAACGCGTCCCAGGTAGGAAGGATCCCTGGCAGGAAGGAACAGGGGTTCATGAGGTGAGCAGCTCTAGATGATTCCTTGCTCTCGTCCTGGCTAATGCAGCAGGCACACAGCAGGTGCTTAATAATGCCTTGCTGAGGGATCAGGGTCAGGGACTCCTAAGGTGCCACCCAGGAAGGTGCCTCCTGCCGAATCCAGAGCTTCCTTTCCTCTTCTCACCGGCCCTCTAGCCTCAGCCTGCAGCCCTGGCAGGGGCTCCTGGCAGTGTTGGGGGTGTTGATGTGCACACTCTGGAGCCTGGGGCCTGGCTTCACGTTCTGGCTCTGCCACTCACCACTGTGTGCCTGGCCAAGTCACTGCATCTCTCTGTGCACCCCTCACAGGGCTCTCGGGAGGATAAACGGAGTGACTGTATCCACAGTGCCCGGCACATACAGGTGCTATAGTAACGTCTTGCTAGGCCGGGCACGGCGGCTCACGCTTGTAATCCCATCACTTTGGGAGGCCGAGGCAGGTAGATCATGAGGTCAGGAGTTTGAGACCAGCCTGACCAACATGGTGAAACCCTGTCTCTACTAAAAATAAAAAAATTAGCCAGGCATGTTAGCGTGTGCCTGTAATCCCAACTACTCAGGAGGCTAAGGCAGGAGAATCACTTGAACCTGGAAGGCAGAGGTTGCCGTGAGCTGAGATCACGCCACTGCGCTCCAGCCTGCGCCATGGAGTGAGACTATTCTGTAAAAAAAAAAAAAAAAACAACAAGCAACGTCTTGCTAAAACCCTCATTATCCTCACTAGCTCTGGGTGGGCCTCGGTGTCTGACCTCTACAGTTCCAGGATACTCTCTGGGGCTGCAGCACCCAGACCACCCCATGCTAACCGTTCCCTGTCCTACCCCAAAGAACAGGGTCAAGGACGGTGGTTCTCATCAGGGCCAATTTTGCCTCCTGACGTCCCCTTGGGACAGTTGATAGTGCCTGGTGACAGTTTCGGTTGTGACCGGCATCTAGCAGGTCCAGGACAGGAATCCTGTGAACAGCCTACAAGGCCCAGGACAATCCCATGCTGTCCCCTTGTCTCTAGCAGCCTCTGTCCTCCCGGCTCACACCGCCTTTTCCCATCTCCCTTTGACAATCAGAGCCTGAGGCCCAGAGCGGGACCACTCCTTGCTGAGGTCACACAAGCAGTGGAGGGGCATTGTTCAACCAACAGATACTGAGAGAATCTGCTGGGTTTGGGAAACTGGCCCTGACCCTGCACCAGCCTGGCTTTCCAGAGTCTAATAGACATTTGCTGGGGTGGTTGGTGGTGGCTGCTGTCTTGGGCAGATCTGGGTAATCCTGGCAGCCGCTTGCAGGCTGCATGTTCTGAGCATGACATTGACCTCTCCAAGCCTCGGTTTCTTTAACTGAGGAATGGGATAACACATGGAGTTGTGGTGTGTGTGTAGAGTAAATGGCTCACACTCGTGAAGAGCCGGAGCAGTCCCCAGCACAGAGGCTGTTGTGGGTGTCCTTATGCACTTGACAAATATTTGTTGGGAGGAAGCAGGAGCTTCCACAGAAAACAAGACGGAGCCATGGGCCCTGCCTTGGGGGCTCAGCCTGGTCAGGGATGAGGAGCAGAGACACAGGTCATCAGGGCTGTGATGTTGGAGGACGGGTACCCTGGGAGCCGAGGAGAGGTGACTGACCCAGGCTGGGGAGGGGGCGGGGCTCATGGGATGCTTCTGGGAGGATGGGACAAAGGACGAAGCCTGAAGCATGAGGCTCAGAAGAAGGGTGCAGCACTGTTCTGGGCAGGGGAACAGCCTGGGTCCAGGCTCCTCAGGACTGGCCCCTCCTCTCCCACCATAGGTCAGTGGAGGAAGCTCCTAAGGCTACCATTCCCTCCCCCTCTCCTAAGGAAGCCCCTGTGGCCCCTCCGCCCTCCCCAGTTGTCAGGTTTGTGAGCGCTCAGAGGCATCCCCACCCATCCCAGCAGACTGCAGACCTTTGTAGGTACCTGGTATATTGAGCGCCTGCTCTGTGCCTTGCTGGTATAGGTAGGGGAACCAGACAAAGTCTCAACTCCCACAGTGCTTACATTCTGGCAGACACAAAGGTCACCAAGTTGATAGAATATCATCTTTTAGGTGGCAAAGAACAGTAGAGCTGTGTCAGGGCTAGAAAGAGAAGGAGCGGCTATTTTAGAGAGGGAGGTGAGGGAAGGCTTCCTGGAGGAGGTGGCTTAGGCAGGGACCTGAATGAAGTGAAAGGTGTTGGAGGAAGAGTGTCCAGGCAGAGGGAACAGAGTACAAAGATTGCACCATGTCTGATTTGTCCAAGGGACCTGAACCAGTAACATGAGGAGCCCCCTGTGGCTGGAGGGGAGCCAGTGTGGTGTGGGAGGGTGGGGGTGACAGGCATCATGAAGGGCCTTGGGGGCTGCCCTGAGGACTTGCACTTTTATCCAGAGTGAGGTGGGAGCCTAGAGGGCTTCAAGCAGAGAAGAGGAGGATGCGATGGCATGATGGGGGTCCAGCAAGTCTCACCCCAGGAAGTCCCCACAGCCCCAGTGCTGGGCACCTTCTCTGGCCTTGACTCCCAGAGGAGGTCTGGCGAGCTTCACTCGCTGCTCAGGCTGAACCGTGACCATGTGGTGGGTCCATGATTCCACAGTTTGAAAACGATCCTTGCAGTCAGGAGACATATGGAGGAGGAGCCTGTCGCCATGGCTGACTGCTGCTGTGTGGCTCGTGGTGCCACCAAGCTGGCATCTGCTGACAACCGGTGCCTATGCTGCCTCTGTCGGTGGGCACGGATGGCCCAGGCACAGCTTGGGGATTAAGGAGCAGGAAACACGGCTTCAGGGGAACTTAGGGTCTTGCGCAAGGACTGGGGGTTCAGAGAGAGAGAGAGCCAGGAGCCGGAGCGGGAACAGGGTAGAGGAGGGACAGCAGGAGGAGGTGGGGACAGTGAAGGGCCAGGGCCCCATTCCGTCAGTGCCTTGCGTGGGGACGTGTCGAGTCTCTGTCTGGGGGGACATGTGGCGCTTGTGCTGCTCCTGCCTGCTCCCACCAGGTCCAGTGGCTTTGGTGTGATCCCTCTGCTCTGGCAGTGGGCATGTAATGGGGGCTTTTGATAGCCAGAGCCTGTTCCGTGAAACAGTAGACCTTCAAGGCCTTGCTGAATAAGTGTGGGAGTTAAGTGATGCTGAAAGGGGTCTTTCCATGTGGTCTTCTCACAGCCTTTAATGTGCTTTTCACAGCATTTGAGACTGTATTTGACCCCTTGTCTCTTTCTTTCTTTAAAGCATGTTTGGGGAATCTGATCTCTCTGCAACAGCTGTAGTCTAGCCCTGCCTTGCCCCAAAGAGGTCACGTGACTGGTGGGATTTCAGGCAGGTCCTTCTGACAGGCTCCAAGGCTTCCTCCCGATGTCCTCCCAGGGCGGGAGCTGTGAGGGTGGGGCAGGTGCCCGTGGCTGCTCTGGTGTGATCTCGATGCTGTGATCCTGGGGCTGTAAGCTCTGGGAAGGCCAGACTAGGATCTCTGAACTGTGAGCTCAAGAGAAGCTGGCTGGGGTCAGCGCAGGGAGACCGGAGGCCAGGCTTGGGGAATGAACAGACGAAATGGGGAGTGAGGGATGGGGCTCCTAACCCAGGTCCTGCCCTTTGGGGCGGCCCAGGCAAGACAAGGGCCAGGGTGGGTATCATGGTGGGTGTGTCTCCTGGGAGGGCCATGAGTCTGCAGGGATACAACTGAGAATAGAAACATCTGATCTCCTGCCTGGGGTCTGGGGTCACCTGGGCAGCTGCAGATCGGTGCAGCTCACTGAAAGCAGACACTCCGGCTGGCTACTGTGTGGCAAATGGTCCTGCCTCGTGTCCCCAGGATTTTCATCTCTGTCATCTCTGCCCACGTTCTCTGGCTTCCTCAGCATCTCTGGCCATGGGCTCCCTGGGAACTTGGGCCCTATGTTTTACTAGTGAGGACAGTCCAGAAAGTTCCTGGGTGTGGAAGAGGAGCCGCCCGCCACCCAGCCTGCCTGCTGTGGGGCGTGCTTGTGATTACGGTTGTCCTTGTGGGCAGTGGGACAGGGAAGGTGGGACACAGCTGAGACGCACAGGGAGAGAGCCTGCCTCTGGGACCCCCTGGCCTCGGGACATGGCTGGCAGCCCTGTGCTGGGCCCCGAAGGCCAGCCTCCCCGTCTCCTCTTCTGCCCTAACCCGCTTCCAGCTACCAGGCTGCACCTGCGGCCACGCAGGGAGGAGCTTCACAAAGTGTGTTGCCGACAGTTTCCTGCCACAGCTTCCGGCCCCAGAGACCAGCTTTGCTACCCTGCACCCATGGTCCCTGGACAAGCCCCTAGTTTGCTGCCTCATCCCACGTCCTCATGCTCTATGGGAGTGGCTCCATGAGTCTTCAGGGAAGGGCTGGCTGGACTGGGGAAGATGGAGGGGAGAAGGGAGGGTGCACTAGGTACAGGGTGCTGTGTGAATAAAAGTATGAAAGCCCATTTGAAGGAAGGCAAGTAGCACAGCTCAGCCGGGGCAGAGGGCTGGGAGTTTAGATCCAGTGCAGTAAACAGTAGGGTCTTGAGCAAGGAAGGCCTTGGGGAAGAATTGCTGAGGAGAGACTTGCAGACTCTGGAGCTCAGCTCTGCGGAAATAGACTGTGGGGTTTAGCCAGCCACAGGCAGCATGGGAGTGACACCTGGATCTTAGGTTGGTTGTGTGAATGGAAACAGTTGGCGGAGATCAAAGGAGACGATGCCAGCAGCAACTGACCTCAGGCAAGAGCGCTCTGGGCTTGCAGAAAGGGGGGTGTGGCAGCGTGTGTAGCTACAGACAGGATGACCCACGTAAGGGGAGCGCGGTGGGGGAAGGAGAACAAGCAGGATGGTCAGAGGGCGGAGGCAAGCCAGGGAGTTTGTGAAGGACCAGAGAGATCTGTGAGGCTCAAGCAGGAGAAAGGGGTCATCAGTGTTGGCCATTCAGGGGACCTAGCATTGAGGAGGTCACAGAGAGCTTGTCTGGTGCCCACACACTGCCAGGGGTGCTATCAGTGCTGGAGAACAGCCTAGGGGGTGGGCTCAGACCATGAGTCTGGATGAGAGGCTGGGAGTCAGGGACATAGGGCAGGAGTGTAGACAGCCCTTAATCACTTTTCTTATTTTTGTTAGCACTTTCAGTGCCCATTGTGTTTGTATCTTCCAATTCCTTTCCCCCTTAATTAAAAATTTGGGATATAATTTACATACAGTAAACTTTATATATAATTTTAGTGAAAAATTCTGAGATCTGACAAATGCATACAGCCCAGAAACTACCACATCAATCAAGACACAGACTATTCCCCCGAATTCCCTCCTGCCTCTCTGTCGTTGGTCCCTCCCCGAACCCCAGCACCCAGCACCTCTGGTGTGTTTTCCATCCCTGCAGTCATGTTGGAATCATACAGTTTCATGCAGGCCCTTCGGGCCTGGCTTCTTTCGCCCAGCCTGAGGCCTTTGCAGTGCATCTGTAAAACTGCACGTCTCTGTGTTTGGTTCCACTTACTGCCAAGTAGAATTCTGCTGTAGGCACGTCCCACAGTGTATCTTATTCATCTGTTGGGAAACATTTAAGTTATTCCTAATTTTTGGCAATTGTGGCTAGAACTGCTGTAAATGTTCCTGTGTAGGTTTTTGTGAGAATGTAAATTTCCATTTCTTTAGAGTGAATATCTAGCTCCTTCATGACATTTATTTTATTTTATTTTTTGAGATGGAGTTTTGCTCTTGTCACCCAGGCTGGAGTGAAGTGGCGTGATCTCCACTCACTGCAACTTCTGCCTCCCGGATTCAAGTGATTCTCCTGCCTCAGTCTTCTGGGTAGCCGGGACTACAGGCGCCTGCCACCATGCCTGGCTAATTTTTGTGTTTTTCGTAGAGATGGGTTTCACCATGTTGGCCAGGCCGGTCTCAAACCCTTGGCCTCAAATGATCCACCTGCCTTGGCCTCCCAAAGTTCTGGGATTACAAGTGTGAGCCACCTCGCTCGGCCGCTTCGTGACTTTAATAGCACTCTTGTGGAATGGTGACCTGTTTCTCCAGGTGGAGCCACAAATGCAGTCCCTTATGAATCTCTGCAACACTCACCTGTCTGTAACTGTTGGGACATCTAGGACCTCCCTCAAGCTTGGACCTCTCAACATCACTGTCACAATTAATCGGGTTAGAATGCAGATCCTGGCCCCTTGTCCAGCGCCCTGACCCAGACCTCACCTGATTCCCATTCCAGTACCTTCCTCTCAGCTCGGATGCCCATCCCTGGACACCCAGGGCAGAGGGATCCTCTCTCAATTCACAAAAGCGTTCATTTTACCCTGTGGTTTCATTTGTGTAGCTAAGAAGGTACCCACAATGCAAACTTATGCCTGGGTAGCTTTGCTGGGCTGGTCTTAGTAGAGAAATGCCTTGTAACTGCTATGGAGAGGTACTTTTTTTCCCCCAACAGTCTATGAAAAGTTACAAATATACAGAAAATAGAATCAATTGTACACCAATAACTCATCCGCTAGATTCTCCAGTTAAAGATTTGCTATGTTTGCTTTATCACGTACAGTTAATCACCACTATTTGTGGATTTCTTATTTGTGAATTCACCTACTTGTTAACAAATATTTGAAACCCTAAAACGAACATGGCACTTTTGTGATCATTCTCAGACATAGAGTGGCAAAAATGTGAGTCACTCGATACACATGTTCCCGCTGAGGCTGCACAAGGCAAATTCTCTGCCCTCTTTTTTCACCTTTCATGCTGCAGATAAGTGTCTTTTTCATGTTCTATGTGGTGCCACATGTTTTGTTTTTTTTATTTTGGAGTTTTGTGCTTGTTGCCCAGGCTGGAGTGCAGCGGTGCGATCTCGGCTCAGTGCAATCTCCGCCTCTTGGGTTCAAGCTTTTCTCCTGCCTCAGCCTCCCGAGTAGCTGAGACTACAGGTGCACGCCACCATGCCCAGCTAATTTTTTGTATTTTTAGTGGAGATGGGGTTTCATCATGTTGGCCAGGCTGGTCTCAAACTCCTGACTTCAAGTGACCCACTTGCCTCGGCCTCCCAAAGTGCTGGATTAGAGGTGTGAACTGCTGCACCCAGCCTCACATATTTTGAATGTTTGTGTTTTTTGTTGGTGATTTCACTGGTTAATATGGCCCCCAACCATAGTGCTGAAATGCTGTCTAGCATTCCTAAGGGCAAGAAGGCTGTATGTGCCTTATAGAGAAAACATGTCAGATAAGCTTATAGTTATAGTGCTGTTGACTAAGAGTTCAATGCTAATGAATGAATCATGCATATTAAATAAGGTGTCTTTAAACAGAAACTCACAAAGAAAACAAGGCTATGTCTTAATCAGTTCATGAAGATGTAAAAAGAGGCTCTTAGGAACCTAACTCTGTATTTCCCCTAGGAGGGAGAATTCCATATTTGCTAATTCAGTGTTTGCATCGACTTTATAGAACTGTGGAGAAGAACAGGAATCAACTGTGTCTATCCGGCTGTCTATCCTTCCATCCGTCCCTCTCTCTCTGTTCATCCATCAATCAGTGTTATTTTTGGGGTGCTCTCAAAGTCGATTACAGTCCTCAGTTCCCATCACACCTAAACATTTCTGCATGCAGATCATTACCTAGCATTCAATATTTTATGATTCTTTCTTTCTTTTTTTTTTGAGACAGTCTTGCTCTGTCGCCAGGAGCCAGGCTGGAGTGCAGTGGCATGATTTCGGCTCACTGCAACCTCTGCCTCTTGGGTTCAAGTAATTCTCCTGTCTCAGCCTCCCAAGTAGCTGGGGCTACAGGCATGCACCACCACGCCCAGCTAATTTTTGTATTTTTTAGTAGAGACCAGGTTTCACCATGCAGGCCAGGATGGCCTCAATTTCTTGACCTTGTGATCTGCCCACCTCAGCCTCCTGAAGTGCTGGGATTACAGGAGTGAGCCACCTCACCCAGCCCCTTATGATTCCTTTTTATTGAGAGAGGGAAAAATACAATGAAATGAACACATCTTAAGTGTACATTCTCTTAGTTTTGGGGAAATCAGACACCTGTGTAACCCAAGACCTGTCAATATACAGGACATCACCATCCTTCCAGAAAGTTGAGGGCAGATGATTTTAAGTTATTGGCCTTACCAGAATCCATCTGTGTAAATAGCCTTAATTCCTCCTTCCCCCATCATACGTTTTGTTTAATAGCTGTATCAAAATTCCCTTTGAGATTAAACCCTAATGTATTTAATCCCCTAGGGATGCATATTCAAATTAGTATGCTTTGTAGAAACTTGCCAAGGAAGGCTGAGGGCTGGGCAAGGGGGGCCTGCTAAGACAGAGGGTAAAGGGTCAGCAGAACGGACAGGTGAGGCTGAGAGGTAGGGCCCTTGGATGAGCAAAGCTAGATGTGGCCTCAGGGCCTCTGCGCCTGCTGTCCCCTCTGCCTGAGGCCCTGTCCTGAGTGCTTTTTGCTTTTTCAAAAGTTGGCTCCTGCTCCTTCAGGTCTCCACTCACATGCTAGGTCCTTGGAGAAGGTGACCATCCTGGCTAGAGCCGTCTTTTAACGTCACTTCACTCATTTCCTTTATAGTCCTGACCTCAATCTGTAATTATTATTTTTGTTTCTTTCTTAGTTTATCTTAGGGCTCTCCCTCGTTAGAGTGTCATCTTCCAGAGGGCTGGGTGGGACTGCGTCAGCCCCATGCCTCGGTATCCCCAGCACCGGGCCTGAAACACAAGAGTTCAGCACGTGGTTGGGACGTGAAAAGATGAGTCCAGGTGTTGGTGCGTGGGGACCAGTTGGTGTGCCTGGGCATCCACATAAGGTCTCTGGAAAGTCAGATGGGGATTTGGGACTCCTCGCTCCGTCTGTGCCCAGTAGGCTGCGGCTCCTCTCCGGGTTGACTGTGGCACACAGCAGGTTTTGTCCCCTTGGCACACTCAGCCTGTGGCGCTGATGCCCTCCACGCGGCGTCTCTGAGCCCAAGGCACCTGGTTCAGGAAGGGCAGCCAAAAACCTGACGTTCCTCCGACCCCCGGTGAACCCGCAGGTTTGGGGAGGCGCAGGGGCGATGCCAGACCCCGCGGCGCACCTGCCCTTCTTCTACGGCAGCATCTCGCGAGCTGAGGCCGAGGAGCACCTGAAGCTGGCGGGCATGGCGGACGGGCTCTTCCTGCTGCGCCAGTGCCTGCGCTCGCTGGGCGGCTATGTGCTGTCGCTGGTGCACGACGTGCGCTTCCACCATTTCCCCATCGAGCGCCAGCTCAACGGCACCTACGCCATCGCCGGCGGCAAGGCGCACTGCGGCCCGGCTGAGCTCTGCGAGTTCTACTCGCGTGACCCGGACGGGCTGCCCTGCAACCTCCGCAAGCCGTGCAACCGGCCGTCGGGCCTCGAGCCGCAGCTGGGGGTCTTCGACTGCCTGCGCGACGCCATGGTGCGCGACTACGTGCGCCAGACTTGGAAGCTGGAGGTGAGAGCGCGGCCTGGGGTGCGGGATCTGGAGGGGTGCCGCCAAAGAGGGGCAGTCGAGGGTTTTGGGGGATAGGAGTGAGGAAAAGGTCGTCTCCTCCATTCAGTCCCCTTTGGGAGCTGGAGAGGTGGGGCCGGCCCCGGTTGGGGGAGAACCTGACAGGACACCTTGGAGGCAGGGACACCTTGGAGGCAGGGGCTCCGTGGTGGCAGTCGCCTTCCGCTGCCTGAGCGCTGCTGTGGTGCGCAACAATGCCAGATCGGAAGGTGGAGGGGCACACCTGGCCGGGAGAAAGCGAGGCTTGGGCTGGGGATGGGGCGGAGAGGAGGGTGCGCAGGGCTACGGTGAGCCCTTAGGGTAGGGCGGCTGTCGGAGAAGATGGGTTGCAGTCTTCCACAGCCTGCGTGACACCACCATGCGCACCTGCCTGCATCAGGTCTTCAAGCTGGAGTTGCGCTTGGGGCCGGGCTGGAAGGTGGCGGTGGTTCCTCCTTAGCTGGACTGGGGAGGAGACCATGGAGATGGCGCGGAGGCGGCCCTCAACAACCTTCATAACACGCGCTAGGGACGCTTGGGTGGGGTGGGGAGTCCTCTGGGACAGGGCTCCCGGAAGGGGGTTCCTGTGGCGAGCACTTGTCCACAACTACAACCCTCCTCCCCGATTCTTTCCTAGGGCGAGGCCCTGGAGCAGGCCATCATCAGCCAGGCCCCGCAGGTGGAGAAGCTCATTGCTACGACGGCCCATGAGCGGATGCCCTGGTACCACAGCAACCTGACGCGCGAGGAGGCCGAGCGCAAACTTTACTCTGGGACGCAGAACGACGGCAAGTTCCTGTATGTGGGGCCCGGGATTTGGGTGCGGTGAGGACTGTGGCTTGTTGGCCAGGATCCTGGGGACTGGGGCAGGCGTGAGTGTGCAGGTGGGCTGTGAGGGTGTGCCTGTGCTCACGTGTGCAAGTGGGTTGTGCGTTTCTGACGTGCAAAGGGACTTGGACATGGGGAAGCAGTGGCAGTGATTAGGAAATCCTCCAGAGTCGGTCTTGGCCTGGCTTGGAATCCGCCTCCACCCTTCTGCCACCTGCTGGCTGCAGCCCTTGGGCAGGTAGCGGACCTTGTTTGCCTGCCTCAGTTTCCTCTCCTTCAATCAACAAATATTTACTGAATACCTACTGTGTACCAGGCACTGAGGACAGACACAATGCCTGTCCTAGTGGGGCAGGTAGACAAGAAAAGGAATCAATAAAATAGAGACCCTGTCAGATGGTACTAAGTGCCCTGTGTGCTGGTGGGGAAGGGTTGCAATTTTAGATTAGGTGGTCAGAAGAGGCCTTCCTGAGAAGGTGAGTTTTGAGTAAAGGAAAGAAGCTGAGGAGTGAGCTATGCAGCTTTTGGGGGAAGGGTGTTCCTGGAAAATGCTATGGCAAGTGCAAAGATGAGGAGGCAGGAGTTTATTTGGCATGTTCTAGAAACATTGTGGAGGCCGTGTGCCTGGAGCTGAGTAAGTGAGGGGAAGAATGGGAGGAGGTGAGGGCAGGGCAGGGACTTTAGCTTTTTCCCGAAGTGAGGTGGGATCCCTGGGAGAGTGTTGAAGCAGCCCCCTCTAACTGTCCTGTGGTTGACAACAGTACCTCCGCCCAGGGGCCTCTATGAGGAGTACATGATTAATACGTGTGAAGCAGTGAAGCAATAGTACGGTAACTGACATAGGAAAAATGTGGTAAATACTAGCTTTCATATGTGGGTGAATGTGTGTGTCTGAGCCACAGCTGAGGCCGTGTGGCTGTTTGTGAGTTTGTCAATGTGAAAAAATCTCTCAAAAGCTCTTTTTAAAACTCTGGCAAGTGTCTGACAGCCTGGCTAGGGCTGTTGCTTTCTGGTTTGGAAACGGGATCTTTTCTATAACCAATGGGATCCAGATGCAGCTGAGGTCACTTGGGCCTCAAGATACAGATAAATTGGTGCCTGCTTTTCTCCCATGACCTCAGGAAGCCCAGTGTTTTCTCCCAAGAAATCTGTGGGGACAATTCCTGGCCTAAGCCCCTGCTCACCAAATCCCTTGAGTCACCTGCCTCCCCCAGGGCTGTTACCTCTCCTGCGGTCAACCCACTTGGAGGAAATGACCACTTCCCTTGATTTGCCTCACCCATGTGAAGTTTCTGTATATTGCCTGCAGGCCTCTTGCAAGATGCAGCTCCTACCCCAAGATTCTGTTGTGGGCTGATAAAATAACTCTTTTACCCTACCATACAAATTCAGATTTGGTTAGACTATTCATTGGAGTGGAGTTCCCAAAGCTTTTGAGGGAGCTCTTAGATATGTTACAGATAATACTCAGCTGCCAGCACAGCTTCTGAACAGCTTGAGACAGGGCTGTTTTCTCAAAAAGGAAACCTTTGCATTTGTATCAGTTTGCTTTTGCTACATAGCAAACAGCCCGAATACTTACTGGCTCAAAATATCAGTTGATTACTTTTCTGATTCTGCGAGCTAACTAAGCAGTTCTGGTTTGGGTCAGCTGAGCTGGGCCTGAATAGGTTGGGATGGACATGCTCACGTGACTGGCCATTGACTTAGTGTCACCTGGGTGAAGGGGATGAGCTGACCCTGTGCAGTCATCATCTAGCAAGCTGGCTGGGGCTTGTTTGTGTAGTGGTGATGCAGGGTTCCCAAGTACAGTCAGAGAGGAGAGGGCAAGTTCAAGCCTTTGTTTGTGTAATGTCACTAATGTCCTATTGGCCAAAGCAAGTCACATCACCAAAACCAAAGTCACAGTGGGAAAGGGACTCCCTAAGGGAGAGGAATGCAGGCAGCCATTTTTGCAAACAATCGACCGTAGGATTGGACCAAGGGGGTTGTCAGGAAGGAATGGGGATTGTGAACGTGGGTGTTGGGGGCTGTCTTGCTTTCCTTTTGGACTGTCAGCCTGAGGGCAGGGCCTGCCCTGCTGCATGTGGAGGCCCCCGTCTTGCAGTACAAGGTGATGGCTGGTCTAGGTGTTACCCACCTTCCTCCAGATGTTGCATCTCCCCACCCCAGGTGTGACTCTTGCCATGATGCTACTAACATTTGGTCACACGTCTCACGTGTTCATATTCCCCTCGTCCGTGGCACGCTACCCCAGGTTCCTGAGAGTCCGGGGCTCTCCCCAGGCTGGACACACGAAGCAGGCTCTAAGCCCTTCCTACAGATGTAGCTGATTCTTTCCTCCTGTCTCTTTTCTCTCCTTCATAAAAGGTAAATTCATCTGTCTTTGATTTTATAATCTGTGTTTATTCTCTGGTTTCCCCTGCATCCCCAGTGTAGCTCTCCATCTGCACAGTCTTTGCCTCTCTTCTGTCTTAGTTTTCCTTTCTTCTTCTCTCCTTCCCTCCCCGCCCCCATCTCTCTTCCTCATCCTGCACTCACACACACGCACATACAGGTCATGATTCTGCCACTCCAATAGCTTAAACAATTAAAGCCTTCTGAGAGTGGCAGAGGATTCTAGGGGTTGGGAAGGTGACTGGAGGGTTGAGCAGGTGGGATTGGGCCCCCATTCCAGCTTGAATGATGGCAGCAGCTCAGCTCTGATCTGTTTACTATCTTAGGCTTCCATGTACAGTGTTGTATGACAAAGGTTTCACTGCCCAAAGGAAAAGTTCAAACACTTTTTGTGTAACACAGCAGAACTCATGACAGGCTTAGAGTTAACCAGTCTACTGAGATTGGAGGAGTCTCAGGAGAGTCAGGGCCAATAGCTTTAACCAGCTATCTGTGCATTGGATATCAAACTGGCGTGCAGTCTCCCAGGCAAAGAGGACCAGTGTTGATGGTGAGAAGGTGTGGTAGGAAGGAGAGATGCCCAGCATCTGGGCACAGCATAGAGCCTGCAGCTGGCAGTGAGGTCCAGAAATAGCTGGCACAGTGGTATGAGGGACAGCGACTCATTCTGGGTAAATATCAAGAGACAAGAAGCAGCTACAATGAGCCAGGCTCCTGGCAAATTAGGCAAGGCACACTTTGGATAGAACCTGAGAGCTTCTTGTTACATTTCCTGTAGTCTATAACTGCTTTTTCAAGGGTTGGGCTGCAAAACAAAGACACGTGCCACTCAGGCCTAGAGTGAAGACCAGGACCATGCTTACCATTGACCACAGTTCATAGTTGCCAAAGAACAGATGGAATTGTACCCAAGGCTGTGTGCTGCAGATGCTGGCTTTGTTTCTGTGTTATTGGCAGCATTTTATGGAACTGGCTGATTTGACTTGAAAAGAAAGTTGCCCTGGAAAGGGCCTTTAAGAGAGTACATTGTCAACTGTTTCTTTTTTGAGATGGAGTCTTGCACTGTTGCCCAGTCTGGAGTGCTGTGGTGCGATCTTGGCTTACTATAACCTCTGCCTCTTGGGTTCAAGTGATTCTCCTGCCTCAGCCTCCCCACATAGCTGGGACTACAGGTGTACGCCACCATGCCTGGCTAATTTTTCTATTTTTAGTATAGATGGGGTTTTCCCATGTTGGTCAGGCTGGTCTCAAACTCCTGATCTCAGGTGTTCCACCCGCCTCCCTCTCCCAAAGTGCTGGGATTACAGGCATGAGCCATCACGCCCGACCTGTTAAGTGTTTCTAACCTCTCCTGGGCTGTAGACCTCTTTGGAATCCTGCTGACTGCCCCTTTCACAATCCCCCCAAACATATTCACCTAAAAGACTTTGCAGACAGTTATACAAGATCATGGTTGATCCTGAACCTCATTCTTGGAGATTTTTTCAGGTCAAGAACTTATGATTTAGACCAGTTATTTCATTTTATACATAAGGAAACCAAGGCACAGTAAGGATAAGCAGTGTATTCAGCATTCCACAGATAATCTGTGACAGAGCTGGTTGTGTAGTCCTAGGTAGCAATTAACTGTAGAGTCAGAAATGCATTTACATCCTGGCTCCACCTCCCACCTCTTACCAACTCTGCAATTCAGGCAAGATACGTAAGCTTGTGTCTCATTTTCCTCAACTGCAAAATGAAGATAACAATAGTATCTACTCTGTGGGGAGTGCTGTGATTATAGGACAAATATATGAAGAATTTAGAATCAATACTTTAATAATAAATGGTAGCTCTTTTTTTTTTTTTTTTTTTGAGATGGACTTTTACTCTTGTTGCCCAGGCTGGGGTGCAATGGTGCAATCTTGGCTCACTGCAGCCTCTGCCTCCTGGGTTCAAACGATTCTCCTGCCTCAGCCTCCTGAGTAGCTGGGATTACAGGTGCACACCACTATGCCCAGCTAATTTTTGCATTTGTAGTAGAGATGAGTTTTCACCATGTTGGCCAGGCTGATCTTGAGCTCCTGACCTTAGGTGATCCACCCTCCTCAGCCTCCCAAAGTGCTGAGATTACAGGCTTGAGCCACTGCACCCGGCCAAGTAGCTTTTTTTTTTTTTTTTTTTTTTTTTTTTTTTAATAGGCTTGAACCAGAGACAGATGGAGCTCTTATAGGTTCTGTGTATTGTTTTATATACATAGAGTGGAGATACAAATTGATTTTGTAGCCTGTACTTCTTCTGGCTTAAGTGCAAGTTTCAACTGCAAGAACAAAGAACTGCCACCACCTAGTATTTTTTTTTTTGTAAATAAAGTAGAACTTATGGTACTGAAATATATGTGGTGATAACACCAATGTCTTAGCCTGTGGGTTATTATCTGGGAATCTGTGGCTGGTCTTTATGAACTCACATGGCTCTTTCAAAAGAGTGTATCGGTTAGCCTTTGCCATGTAACAGCTTGCTGTATTCACACCCTGAAGCTCAGTGGCTTAAAGCAATGGTCATTTACAGCCAGGTGAGGTGGCTCACGTCTGCAATCTCAGTACTTTGGGCTGCTAAGGCAGGTGGATCACCTAAGGTCAGGAGTTTGAGACCAGCCTGCCCAATATGGTGAAATCCCATCCCTGCTACAAATACAAAAATTAGCCAGGTGTAGTGGCACATGCATGTAATCCCAGCTACTTGGGAGGCTGAGGCAGGAGAATCACTTGAACCCAGGAGGCAGAGGCTGTAGTGAGCTGATCACACCATTACACTCCACCCTGGGCAACAGGAGCAGAACTCTGTCTTAGAACAAACAACAAACAAACAAAAAAACCCAAACCAAACCAAAACCAAAACCAAAAAAACCCAACCAACCAACCAAACAAACCAAAAACAAACAAACAAAACAAACGGGTTATTTATTCACTCTTGTTTTGCTTGGCAGTTTGGGTGGTTTGCTTGGCAATTTGGGCTGAGTTCAGCTGGGTGCCTCTTCTGGATTTTTGAGTTTACTCATGTGGCCACAGTCAGCTGGAAGGTTGGCTGGAGCTGGATGGTCTCTGGGATGGCCTCACTCACATGAGTGGCTATGGCAAGCTGGGGTGCCTTGGTTCTTCTCTATAGGCCTTCTCTAGCAGGCTAGCTTAGACTCATTCCCATGGTGTTTGCAGAGCTGCCAGGAAAAGCAAGAGAGAGCAGGCAGACCTCAATGCTCAACCACTTTTCAAGCTTGTGTCATGTTTGCTGGTGTCCAATTAGCCATAGCAAGGCCTGCTTCAGGAGATAGAGGAGGAGACTCCACCTATTGATGGGAAGAGTTCCCTAATATTGTGGCTGTTTTTTCCCCAATATTCCACATGGAAGTTTAAATAAACAAACACAGAGGAATTTATTAGTTCCAGAAGAAAGAAAGAAAGAGACAGACAGAGGAAGAGAGATAGAGATGAGGGGGAGGTTTGCTGTTTGCTGATGAGTAGCCACTTGGCATCAAGTCTCTGTTGTCAGTTTAAAACTTCAAGTTGTGACCCTTAGGAGGTGTTTTTCACTTCTCACAGTCTCTGGAGACCATCTCCTCCAGGACAGCCTGCCAGCTGCCTCTGACTTCCACAGCTCTGAGACCCCCAGGGCCAGCAGTCCTCCCTCCTCACTGGAAAGCTGCATTTAACAGGGTCTTGTGCCAGTGACTCAAAATAGAAATGTTTTGTGGGAGATGTTGGCTGGAGTCACAGTGATGGCATTGCATCTGCTCTCCCAGCCTAATGTCTCTGTGGGATGTTTGTTTTCTAGTTTGTATGTGGGGGGATTCTCTTCTTTGCCCTTTGGTGAGCCCTCATTGCCCCGTGCCCTGATTTCCTATCTCTCCACATTATCTCCAGACTGTTGTGGGCTAGCCTGGGAACTACTCCACCCTTCACTGCACTGTTCTTTGGGGAACGTGCTGTCCAGGAATGGATGGGATAGTCACAGCTGCACCTCTCTCCCTCACTCAGGGGACATTTCCTAAGGAAGGGCATCATTGCAAGGTGGGCCCACAGCTGCCTTGCTCACTGCCATATCCCTGCACTCAGAACAGTGCCTGGCCTGTGGTCCACAGTCAGTAAAGATTTGTCCAGTTAATGAACATCCACAGGCAGGGCCAAGCCTGGTCTGAGAATTTGCACCTTGGAGGGTGTAGCTCGCAGGCCATTGCAAGGGCTCTTCTGTAGCTTAATGCAATCCTTGAGCTCGGGAGTTGGCTGCCTCTGGCCACCACAGCTTCCATGGGGCCAGCTGCCCTCCCTCCTCACTGGAAAGCTACACTTGACCCTGCAGTAGAGGCTTGTGCTTATGACCCCAAACAAAACTGTTTTGTGCGGGATGATGACTGTCACTGGGGTTTCATGTGAGGGTACTGGTGTCTGACACTAAGTTAGTCTCTATATGTGTGGGGATGTGTGTGTACTCAGGGCTGGAGGGGATGGGGGAACAGGCTCTCACCCCACAAATGCACCATCTTTGAGGGGCTCCATTCCCATCATAGATATGAAAGATTTATATGTTTATTTTGACAAAATTCCAGCAGAAGGCAATCAAGGGTCTTATTCTAGGAAAGGTCTGTCTATTATGGAGCTTGTCAGTCTTGTGATGAGAAAGTGACTTGTTCTGATTTGCACAGGGGTGCCCTGTCACCTGGTCATGGAGCTGTGCCCACCTGTGTGGGTCTGCGTGGAAAAGGCTTTCTCTCCCCAGGAGAATGGTGCTGGTCTACCTGTTGAAGGCTCTGTGTCTGTTGTAGAAGGCCAAATGCCTCCCATGGTTGGCTGATGTGTGGCCGAGTGTACCTCCAATGGCTGAGTGCCTGTGAATGACTATACTGTCTCCCTGTGGATGATAAGTGTCTGGCCATGGATAGTCAAGTGTTCAGCCATGGTGGACCAGGCGTTCCTCAATGGATTGGTGTCCCCTTCCTCCCATGGCTGAGTGTTCACCATGTGTGGTTGGGTATTCCCCATGAATGGGCGTCTCTTGGCTCTTGAAGGACTGTGCATTTTCCTAGGAACACAGCCATGGCCCCTCCACTGCCCTCTGCCCCTTGGACCATTATCAGCAGATCTGGAGGTGAGGGAGCCTGGCCTGGCTTCCCTAGTCCCTGCACTTCTCTGCAAGGCTCCTGGACGTGGAGCCCATGGGGGTGTGTGTGTGGAACCTGAGCACAGCAGGAGGCCCCTGGGTGGCTCTAGGGGTGACATCCCTTCCCTTTCCCCACCAGGCTGAGGCCACGGAAGGAGCAGGGCACGTATGCCCTGTCCCTCATCTATGGGAAGACAGTGTACCACTACCTCATCAACCAGGACAAGGCGGGCAAGTACTGCATTCCCGAGGGCACCAAGTTTGACACGCTCTGGCAGGTAGGTCGCCCATGCAACTTGTTCTGGGAGATGCTGTGCTTGGGTGGGGTGCGGGGCTCTGGGGAGAAGAGGAACCCCTGCTAGCTGCCTGCTCCCTGCAGCTGGTGGAGTATCTGAAGCTGAAGGCAGACGGGCTCATCTACTGCCTGAAGGAGGCCTGCCCCAACAGCAGTGCCAGCAACGCCTCAGGTGCCTGCAGCGGGTGGGTGGGCAGTGGGCGGGGGCAGTAGGAGACCTGGCCCCCGGCCCTCACTGTCCCTTCTGCTTCCCCAGAGGCCGCTGCTCCCACGCTCCCAGCACACCCATCTACGTTCATTCACGTGAGTTGGTGGCACCTGGAGTGTGGTCTTAGGGATGGAGCTGGGGGTGGCTCTGGGGAAGGCTGAGGTGCCTGTGGAGTGGAAGGGGCTCGCTCTCCACTGTCTCTGGGGAATACTCAAGGGATATAGGTCTCATGAGAGGGGCTGGGTATCCCAGCTCAGGCCCTGCTGACCCTGTGACCTTTAGCCTCAGAGACGGATGGACACCCTCAACTCAGATGGATACACCCCTGAACCAGGTGAGCGGGCAAAGTTGGGGACATGGGTTGGGGCTTGTGCCAAGCCGAGAGCAGGGCCCCTGTCACAGGGGCTGTGGGGTTTCACAGGGGACTCCATGGAATGGGCCAGGCTGCAGCAGTTGGCTTGGTTTATCCCTGTGCATACATACCCACACCCATCACGCCTTCCACTGTGTACTGACGTGCAGGGAGCACACCTGGCCCCTCCTGGGGCTACCCAGACACAGGGTAGCGCCTACTATGTGTCACTCACATTCTGAGGTCACTGTGTGTATGAGCCATCGAACCCTCCTGACAGGCCTTATGAAGTGGCCGTGGTGATTACCTCACTTTATAGCTGCAAGAAGGAGGGCTCTGTCTACAGGGAGGTGAGACAGTGCTGGAGGTGAGATGTGAACCCAGGATGGGCTCTGGAGCCCACATTCCTAAAATGCTCTGCTGTGCGTGCTCCTATGTTTCATGGGTGGGTGCAGACCTGGACATGTGTGTTCACAGAGAAGAAGACACACAGTTACATGTGGACCCATATGCTTGCCTTTGGAGGTCTCCACATGTGTGTTGCATACGCAGACAGGGACAGGCCTGGCCATAGGTGTACATGTATGAATGCACACACATGTACACCCCAGCTGGCACAGTAATGGTGCCACGTGGATACCAATGCATACACCCCTAGAGTCCACCCTCATGTGGCTTCCCAGAGCACCCACAGCTGTGCCCAGGACCATATGCCCATGCGTACGTGTCAATGTACAGGAACACGCATGTGCACCCACCTGCCTAGGCATGCTCCGAGGAGGGCACCCTTGTCTGGGGCAGGTGCTTGTGAGGGCTGAGGCTGCCCTGTCCCCCATGCCCCTGCCCCTGACCTGGGACTGCATGGCTCTGTGTGCCCAGCACGCGTAACGTCCCCAGACAAACCGCGGCCGATGCCCATGGACACGAGTGTGTATGAGAGCCCCTACAGTGACCCAGAGGAGCTCAAGGACAAGAAGCTCTTCCTGAAGCGCGAGAACCTCCTCATAGCCGACATTGAACTTGGTTGTGGCAACTTTGGCTCAGTGCGCCAGGGCGTGTATCGCATGCGCAAGTATGGCCACCCTGCCGTGGTGGGGGCACTGCCGCATGGGGGCAGAGGGGTGTGGCTTCACCAGGCTGTGGGGTGGGAGCTGGGACTTCCGTCTCATAGCAGTTTGCTTGGGAAACAGACTCTGCGGCAGAACAGTGCATGCTGGAGGGTTTTCTGAGAGAGCCCGGGACACCTGAGGGGGATGGGATGTGGGCCTGGGCAGGGGGAGATGGCTGAACTACAGTTACCCATCCCAGGGGAGCGACAGTGGGGTCCCCGATCCCTGAGTCCACTAGTCCTTGACAGGCTGCCTCTCGGGAGGGTGTCATTTTGTGTTCTTTTTGGTGATGGGTGGTTCCCGTTGACCGACCTGGCTGTGTCCTCAGCAGACGCTCTGGGCTGCGGGGACACTGAGCACCTTGGTCCCAACGTGGGTGGCAACCAGTGTCCACCGCACAACTCAAGGGAGAAGAGCGATGGGTGGGTGCAGGTGTGGGGTCGAGCAGGGCGTGTGCCCCTCGCCCACACGCCTCCTGTGGCCGGGTTGGGCAGGAAGCAGATCGACGTGGCCATCAAGGTGCTGAAGCAGGGCACGGAGAAGGCAGACACCGAGGAGATGATGCGCGAGGCGCAGATCATGCACCAGCTGGACAACCCCTACATCGTGCGGCTCATCGGCGTCTGCCAGGACGGGGCCCTGATGCTGGTCATGGAGATGGCTGGGGGCGGGCCGCTGCACAAGTTCCTCGTCGGCAAGAAGTGAGCCCTGGGTGGCTCTGGTCATCGGGTGGTTGGGGCCAGGGCTTATCCTGGGCATGGTGGCCACACACCTGCACGCACGCATGTGTGGGGAGCTGGGGCACTTTCACATCTTCGTGGACACACTCGCACCCGGCACGCCCACACCCATACCCACAACTGCAAAGCAGAGCTAACCCTCGGTTCCACCCTTGCACCTCGGCAGTGATAACAGTGCTTACCTCCAGGGCCCCTGCGAGGATCGAATGAGTCGGCACCTATAAAGGCACTGATGGGAAAAGCTTTGTACGCATCAGCGCTGCCCAGACCCCCTGGGCCAAATTCATGGCCCCAGGAAAGGGCCCATCACCAGTTATCTGGAACCTGCACTTTGTTTATGTACTGCATGGTTTTCTATTTTTAGAGGGTTTTTTTTTTTTTTTTTTTTTTTGTAAAAAAAAAAGAAAAACCAGAAACAAAAACAAAGATGTGACAGAGATCACTTTTGGCCTGCGAGGGCTAAAATCCTTACTATCTGGCCCTTTAGTGGAAAGTTCTGCAGTTTCATTCGTGGTCCCTCATCCCCATTCTTTTGCCCTCACAAACACAAGTTCTGCGCTCCCCAAGACACATTTTTGCTGATCTGTGTCCTCCGGCCGGTGCACACACCTTGCCAGTGTGCCCCTGGCTCCCACACTCAGTTATTTGACAGGTGTTTATTGGACAGTTTCTCAGTGACAGGAACTGTTAGTAGCACTTGGGATTCATTAGCAAATAAATGAGGCAGAGATCCCTGCCCTGTATTCTGGTTGAAGGAGAGAGACAATAACAATCCTGATGAAATCTAGAGCCTGTGGGAAGATGGTGCTGTGGACACAGCATGCCGCAGCTCCAGGGGTTGGGAGTGTCGGGCTGCGAGGTGCAGTGGGCAGGGAGGTTTGAACAAACTGAGGGAGGCCACCACGCCCAGATGTGGGGAAGGGCATTCCAGGCAGAGGGCACGCACACACAGAGGCCCTGAGATAGCCCTGTGCAGGGAGGGGATGAGCAGATCGTGCCAAGGCTTTTGGGCTGCCAGGAGGAGGTGGAGTTTTACCCTGAGTTGGATGGGAGCTCGTGGGGGCGGCACTATGAGCAGAGGAGAGGGAGGACCTGACTCAGGGGCAGAGAGGACAAGACAGTGGGAGACAGTGAGGAGGGAGCCCGGGAACTGGGCGGAGCTGACTGTTTCTGTGTGTGTGTGTGTGTGTGTGTGTGTGCGCGCGCGCGCGTGTGTGTGTGTGTGTGTGTGTGTGTGTGGCGGGGGAAGCAGGGGTCCAGGCAAGTGATGCTGTGGCTGCCACCCAGTAGCAGATGCAGAGGTAAGCAGTGGGGTGGGCTCTGGAGAGATTCTGACACCAGAGCTGCCAGGGTTTGCTGACGGATTGGGAGTGAAAGAAAGAGGAGCTGCTGGAGAGGATGGTGGAGGAGCCCCATGTGTGTGCACATGGGGAGAGGGACGTCAGGCCACATCATCTTTGAGACACCTGTGATACCCCAGCATGTGAAGGGTGCAGGCAGAGATCTAGATTTAGGAGTGGCGTATGGGTGATCCCTAAAGCCTCGCACTGGATAGATTGGATGAAGGCAGGGGTTTTGCCAGTTTGTTCACTGCTGTGTCTCCAACCCCATGCCTGGCACACAGCAGGTGCTCAATAATCGTTTTTGAACACGTGGTCACCTGGCTCATGCCCAGCTGGGTCAGAGAAGCATGCTTTGCCTCTGGGAACTTGGGTGGTCTCCTCAGTGAGCCTGCCTTCCCTGCCACCCCAGGGAGGAGGTCCCCGTGAGCAACGTGGCGGAGCTGCTGCACCAGGTGTCCATGGGGATGAAGTACTTGGAGGAGAAGAACTTCGTGCACCGTGACCTGGCGGCCCGCAACGTCCTGCTGGTCAACCGGCACTATGCCAAGATCAGTGACTTTGGCCTCTCCAAAGCACTGGGTGCCGACGACAGCTACTATACTGTGAGCCTCTGCCACTGTGATGCCTGGGTGGATGGGCGGGGTGGGTAGAGGGTCCCCAAGCCCTATTCTGGCAGCATCTCCCCCTCCCCAGGCCCGCTCAGCAGGGAAGTGGCCGCTCAAGTGGTACGCACCGGAGTGCATCAACTTCCGCAAGTTCTCCAGCCGCAGTGATGTCTGGAGCTACGGGGTCACCATGTGGGAGGCTTTGTCCTATGGCCAGAAGCCCTACAAGGCAGGCGCAGGCAGAGGCGGTGGGCGGTGTGGTAGGGAGTGGGAGGAGGAGGACCCTGGTCACTCACATGTGTCTTGGCCCTGGCTTGAGCAGAAGATGAAAGGGCCGGAGGTCATGGCCTTCATCGAGCAGGGCAAGCGGATGGAGTGCCCAGCAGAGTGTCCGCCCGAACTGTACGCACTCATGAGTGACTGCTGGATCTACAAGTGAGTGCGGGAGGGGAGGAGACCCGGCCAGACTGACCCCTGGGAAGCCCTGGTGCCAGATGAGTGCCATAACCTTTCACCCAGTTCATGGACTTTGCAGCTGCCCCCTATCCGCACACCCAGCTCTCCAACACACTACCCCTGTCCTGCTCCAGCATGCCACACCCTGCCACCCTGCCTGTGACCCTGTGCTTGAGCATCTAAAACCTCAGCCATCCTCAACACATGGACCTTGCAACATGCAAACAGATCCATGCTTTGCTACTTAACCTATGACTCAGGGCATGAGATAATTCTCCAGCACCCAGCACTCCACTTCCCACCAGCCAGCACGCAGCACCCAAATACCAGACAGGCTGGCACCGAGGTACCAAATACCCATCTAGTCCAGCCCCCACATCTGCCTGGTTGAAGCTCAACCTTCAAACATCTCAACTCCTAACACTGTCAAATATCCCAACTTCCCATCAGACAACAGGCGACACACCCGGGCAAGCGGACACCCTCCACTGCCCCCGCAACGCATGGCCACTCTAACCCTACCGGCCAGCACTAAAGACGATGACACTGAAGCGCCCAAGCAGTCCAACAGATAGACACCCTCTCTGGCTGGTACACCCCACTGCGACATGTGTTAATTTGACCTCCAGAAGACACCCAGTGCACTACACCCCAGTACCCAAAGAGGCCAGCACCTAGCACCCCAACAAAGTCCATGGATACCCCATGCACAGTACTGTTAATACTGCAGCTCTGCACTGGTCAGACCTACTGGAGTGCTCCAGGCTCCTGCTGATAACCAGACATGCCCTCCCTCCCGTCTAAGCCTGCGCCTAGCATTCCAACACCGTGCTCCCCAGGTGCATGAGCGGAGCTTCAACAGCTTTCCGTATCCCAGGTCCCCATGGTCAATAGCTGCCACTCTGACACCCAGTCCACTCAGTCCCCTGAGTCCTCACTGGTCAATGCCCGGTAGAAGGTCACCCAGCACCCTGTGTGTGGGAGCTCTGCCTCAGGCTGTGCCGCATTGCCCAAAGCTCTCACATCCCAGAGGCCTCTCCACCACCCACTGTCCTGCCACCCAGCAGCCCTGCTGACTTTCTGAGCCCTGAAAGTCCACCTCAGCCATGCACCATGCATTCCTGCCCTCTGGTGAAGCTGGGTCCCAGGGGTGTGGCCAGCAGCCTGGATGTACCCCATCCCTCATAGGTGGGAGGATCGCCCTGACTTCCTGACCGTGGAGCAGCGCATGCGGGCCTGTTACTACAGCCTGGCCAGCAAAGGCGAGGGGTCCCTGGGCTGCACGCAGAAGGCCGAGGCTGCCTGTGCCTGAGCTCCCACTGCCCAGGGCCTGCAGCCTTCCACGCTGGCTCTCCCCCTGCCCTCAGCCCCACCCCAGGCCCTGCAGTCTGGCGGAGCGCGCTTGGTTGTCTCCACACACAGCTGGGCTGTGGTAGGAGGTGTCTCAGCCACACCAGCCTTGCATTCCTTGCCTGGCCCCCTGTCCTCTCTGGCTGGGGAGGAGGGAGGCCTCGAGGGTGGGGCTGTGCAGCCTGTCCCGGGCTGGCCGCTCCCGGAGGGTCCTGAGCTGATGGCGTTGCCTGCGTGGACACCTTGCTCTGGGCCCTGACAGTGGGGACTGGGCGTCCTCAGGTGGTCGGGTGTAGATCACTGGAATAAACTTAGCTTCCTTCTAGTCTGAGCACCCTCATCTTTTCCGGGGTGAGGGGAGGGGCCTTCACAGGTGGGTTATGAGAGGTGCATGGAGGTGAATATCCTTGTGTGGACTGACCTGGAAGTGACCCCTGGGAAGATGGGGCTGGGTCCCACTCTCCACCCTTGGGGAAGCTTCATTGGAGTGAGGGGCTGGGGTGAAGTGGGGAACCTGAGGCCAGGTGGATGTGGGCCCAAGGGCTGCGTGCCCGGCTGCCCTGCCTGTGTGGAGCTGTCTGTGCTCCGTGCCAGGTGCACGTTAGGATCACCTGGAGCGATTTTAACAAGCGCTAAACCTGCCCCCATCCAACTGGGGCCTTCACCACCCCAGGGAAGCCTTGCACATCACGAGATACAGTGTGTTTCATTGGTAGATACACATATTAGCTTCCACATGAACTGTATTACTGAATTTGAAAAATACCAACATGCAAACATTGTTTTTAAATTAATTGTTTATAATGAACGAATTAAAAAATCACATCAGTTAATTTAGTGGTTTCTTAAATCGTGTGGTTTGCAGATAGTGCAGTTTTATAAAAATTCACTTGTGAGTCTCTGAACAATGACTTACATTATTATGTAAAATATGATATCAGACAGTAAATAAGCTGTGACTTTATTTTATGGTCATTATTATTTGCTTCATGTCATCATTAGTGCTGAAAGTAATTTTGTTTTATAAGAAGGAGGGATTAGAAAATGGTCCTTTAGGTGTGAAGTACATTTGGAACCTTGAGGGACACACCAGAGATGTCCGGAGAGGAGCCACCGAGAGAGGGTGCAGTTCTTCAGAGCACCCTCCAGGTGGCGATGTTCCCCAGGCAGAAGCCAGCTCTGGTCAATCCCGCCCTCACCGCCAGCCTCACCTCTGGACTGCTCCTTGCCCGCCTGCAGCACGACCTCGGGTCCTCACCTCCAGGTCCCCAATCATGCCCCCTGCAAGGTGCCTGCAGGATTTTCTTCTGGCGGCTCTGATCAAGCCCCTTCGCCCTCCTCCAGGGTTTCCACCGTCGCGCTGCTTCCTCTCTGGGCCTCCGCATTCACTGCTGCCGCTGCCTGGAAAGCTCCCCATCTCCACTCACTGATGTCCGCTGGGAAAGCTCCC